TCATATTAAAAGTGTTTATATAGAAAATTCCAAGCTGATATGAATAGTAGTTGGAAAATTGGGTCTTGGATTTCGCGTAGTATATGCGTTTTGTATTTTGATGGTATTGTAGCGATGAATAGAAAATGGTAGCTTCGCTCCGCTAAGAGAATTTGTGAAATTTCAGATGTTCCATGAGGTTGATTCGATGGAAGATGGAGGAGTACATGGTCTGAATAAAAGCGCGCAAAATTTACTAAATGAAGGTAGTGGAGTAGGATGGAGGGTTGTTTGTCATTCCAGAGGGCGTGGGGTCGAATCCCATGCCGTTGATTTTAAATGGTGTTGAGTAACGTGTACATCGAAATGTGTTTTACTTTTGTCTAGTGTTGGAGTAGGAATATATGTAATCGCTTTCCTCAGCTGCTGAGCTCAGGAGTTTCCTATACAGTGTTGGAGTAGGAATATATGTAATCGCTTTCCTCAGCTGCTGAGCTCAGGAGTTTCCTATACAGTGTTGGAGTAGGAATATATGTAATCGCTTTCCTCAGCTGCTGAGCTCAGGAGTTTCCTATACAGTGTTGGAGTAGGAATATATGTAATCGCTTTCCTCAGCTAATGAGCTCAGGAGTTTCCTATACAGTGTTGGAGTAGGAATATATGTAATCGCTTTCCTCAGCTGCTGAGCTCAGGAGTTTCCTATACAGTGTTGGAGTAGGAATATATGTAATCGCTTTCCTCAGCTACTGAGCTCAGGAGTTTCCTATACAGTGTTGGAGTAGGAATATATGTAATCGCTTTCCTCAGCTGCTGAGCTCAGGAGTTTCCTATACAGTGTTGGAGTAGGAATATATGTAATCGCTTTCCTCAGCTGCTGAGCTCAGGAGTTTCCTATACAGTGTTGGAGTAGGAATATATGTAATCGCTTTCCTCAGCTGCTGAGCTCAGGAGTTTCCTATACAGTGTTGGAGTAGGAATATATGTAATCGCTTTCCTCAGCTGCTGAGCTCAGGAGTTTCCTATACAGTGTTGGAGTAGGAATATATGTAATCGCTTTCCTCAGCTGCTGAGCTCAGGGGTTTCCTATACAGTGTTGGAGTAGGAATATATGTAATCGCTTTCCTCAGCTGCTGAGCTCAGGAGTTTCCTATACAGTGTTGGAGTAGGAATATATGTAATCGCTTTCCTCAGCTGCTGAGCTCAGGAGTTTCCTATACAGTGTTGGAGTAGGAATATATGTAATCGCTTTCCTCATCTGCTGAGCTCAGGAGTTTCCTATACAGTGTTGGAGTAGGAATATATGTAATCGCTTTCCTCAGCTGCTGAGCTCAGGAGTTTCCTATACAGTGTTGGAGTAGGAATATATGTAATCGCTTTCCTCAGCTACTGAGCTCAGGAGTTTACAAAGCTAATTATACAAGTTTATATGCGAATTCGGGAATCGAAATTTCCTCTCAGAATTTTCATATTGTCATCACCAACACATGTAGTTGACCATGTGCATATTTCCCCCCACGCTCCATATTAACAACAAGTAGACAAGTTTACGGTTGTGAAACTGAGATTGTAAATCAATATAAAGGGTCAGGGGAAAAGCACCAGTGTTAGCGGAGGCACTACTGACCGACGGACTCGACCAACTCAAAAATTGAAAATTTTTGTATGCTCATGCAAATTTCCCTTCTTCGGAATTTTCATGTTTTTTTTCTGGGGGGTGTTACCTTTTTGCGATTCTTTCCTGGTAGTTGACGACTTTTTTGGTAAATTTCTTGGAGGGTACTGTATGCAGTCAATATTAGAAGGTGAGTTTTCATCTCGTGTAAAAAGCGCGCGCCATTCTGATCGATTTTTAAGTGCCTTAGGTAGAAAGATCAAATCGGCATTATTCGTAGCATTAGGAGTTTTATTTATTCGGAGAATCAGTCGAGGTGAGATTTTCGGCGGAAAAGTTTGTCAGTGTTTTTGGAGGAATATATGTTCGCTTTCTTCAGTTGAGCTCAGCAGTTTGCTCACCCATTATAGGAGTTTACATACGAATTCGGGTAGAAGTGTTCAGAAATTAACGAAAAAATTACCAAAAAAAATTCTTTGAAATTTTTATAAAGTTAATTTGCACGCATGCACAACAATTCAGTTCTGCGCGAGCGGTCGTTTCAAGGCTTGCTGACGAAATGGCTGTTGGTGATGCCTGTTCGAATGGTACTCCCAGCGATGGTAGTATATACGACGGCTAAGTAGGTTGAGGGGTGTATGTGTAGTGGCGTAAAACGCGATATGTAGTAGTCGTGAAATAAACTTTTCACTAGTGTTTTTCATATCACTAGGGCCGCCCGTGAAACCACAATAAATACAGTTAATAATCAATAACGTTTTGACCAGATAATAATGGAGTTTCACAACCCGCTTTACGTGAAGTGGCGTGAAACTCGGTGAAAAACGCGATATTATTCGCGGTGATATGCAGTAGTCGTGAAATATATTTTTCATATCACTAGGGTGAAACTCCGATAAATATAATATAATTAAATACCCAATCACGAAATGACCAGATGATAATAATATAGATAACGATGGAGTTTTACCCGTTTCATGTGGAATGGCGTAAAACTCGGTGAAAAACGCGATATTCGCACTATGCAGTAGTCGTGAAATATATTTTTCACTAGTTTTTTTTTCATATCACTAGGTGGCGACCATGCTCATAAGTTATAATCATGATTGCCGGTTATTTATGATAAGCCTTATGATTGGTAACAAGGAGGAGAGTATCCTCCCACACTTCTGTAGCTCATATTAAGCATACACCGATTTTGACTCGCACACTTGTCAGTGGCTCACTTGTCTGGTAACGATTCTGCATCCTCTTGCTCAGTCTTCAGTGCCTCTCGGTTGACCCTTGATTCGACCACTGCTCGCTGCCTAAAGTGTTCATCTCTAAGTAATGAATCTCTTTCATTAACCTATTTTGTTGCATTCTGAGCTGTAGTATCTCTCTTCTAACTTTCTTGAGCAGATCCTTAACAAAGGGGTTTCGCTCGACGATCAACCTAAAAAACGCCGTATTCCGATTGGTATCGTCCTCCATGTGATAGCCCTTCCGGCGGTTTCCGATCGATAATGGATTGTTATGCTGCGATTGGTGAATCGTTCATGGAAAAAACATTCAGTGTCTCACTCGTTGTGGTCAACAACTTGGCGTAACGAACGAGACGTTGTGTGCATTGCACACTGTGCAATATGGCGTTGTGCAAAACCAGGCCGGGTTATAATCCTCAACAGCACCAGGCTTTGACGAGCTCTATGATAAAGCTAATGTCTGAGATGATATAATCTCTATCATCTCAGACTTCCCTATGTTGAAATAATTATTCCGATGAGGGCTAGTGGGATAAATTAGAAACTATAGTTCTGTCGACGGAACCGTGCGTGAAGCCCCCTACCTGAATCGGTTATCTTTGTCAGCTACCGCCGAGACTCGTTTGAAACCGTCAGACGACATCGCGGCTAGTTGCAGAGTGCCTACTCCATCATTGGAGCGCGAGAAGGTGTGGATTTCTCTCACTTTTGGCTTTCATCGTCTCAGGTAGTTCATCAAATAGATCATCTGTTGACGACTTGACTTGTGTGATGTAATGCTCGTTACCTGATAGTATGAATTGCACTGCATCAGAGCTTCCACGTGTCGAGAAGTTCCCAATACTGTTAGGCTGAACAGAGAAATTACGATCCTCACGTTGTGCTACCAGGGGAGACGAATATTGGAATGCGGTCACAAAGTTCATGATTCAGCTAGTCTTGGTTACGCGTCGGAACATATGAATCTCTGTGCTGCAGTCGCTGCGGCATCGTAGTATTCAGGTCGTTCTTCATAAGGATTACTATCGTTGCAGGGGATATCGCGTTAGTGAAATGCCGACAAGGCCTCAGCGACACTTCGCGATATATTCCAACACTGGCTTCTCGGGATTTATATAAAAGCTTGTGAATGCGGGAAAATTTCAGAAACATCATCTCTCGGGAAAGATGGCGTGTTTTGTGATACAATGTTTAACACAGTGTTTTTCATATAACTATATGAGTTACGTAGTGATATTTATCTGCAAAGATTTGTTGCTGTCTACGTTTCGCGTCAGAGGGAGCATTAAGAGTGTCATACCATCTGTGAGGCACTTCTCGTGGTGAATAGCCGTTCGAGCTAGGCGCTGATGGAGACGAGGAAAAAGGGCCTTCGGGAGGCAGAACCACGAGCAATACGAGATCAAAAATGTGAAGCGATGATACCTAGTGAGAAATAATCAACTCCTCGACTCGGTCATCTCACATATGAGTCCAATCTACTGCGAAGAAAATCACCATACCGCATGTCATGATGACGAACAGTAATGGTATCTGCCAGCGATAGTACAGCTATCGGATAGCTGTGATAGAAAGTGAGCTTGAATAATTTGTGGCAACGTATGATCTTTATCACGAAGTACTTGTGCACGCAGGGACCTATCTAGTTCTCAAAAATAACGTTCCCCAGAGTCTACTAACAATGAGGAAAGTGTGATGACATTTACATTGGAAACTGATTGCAGAATGGGATCCTAGCCATACGTGGAGAATTAAAAATGAGCTCCACCCGGGAACGTTATAGGTTTCTGGATGATTCCCTGTATTGATTAGACAGAGCTCCATTGCTGCTGTAATGTTTCCTTATTTCGTGTCATTCGTCCGATAACTCTAGGTTGTGCGCCCATCGCACGCTGCTATGTGTATGCGTGCACAGTTGCGCTGCGTACAATCCGTTCATTGAGTTGGTTAAATCGTCTTTTCCTACTTAATGTCTGCTCACGAGTCGAGTCATCAGTCACAGGAGGGAGACGGATCCCAATCATTGGCTCCGATACCGGGACTCCTCCTGCACCTCTTCGAGGCTGATGGCCCGTCAATCGACACCGCTGTGAAAGACCTGAATGTGGCGATGGCCGATATCCCGGCCGAGGAGCGAGAATCAGCCTACATGGCTTTCGTTAACGACTACTTCTCGGATGATCCAGAGCCGGTCAAGGAGGCCTACCATTCGCTCTTCGTGCTATCCCAGGCTACAACAAGGTCTGGTACCGTCAACATACGGAGGGAGCTCATAGTGAGCTATCACTCCCCTTTCTGCGCGGTCGAGCATACGCTCATGAAGGCAGGTCGCACGCTCAAGGCTCGCCTGGACTACGAATACATCTCCGCTGTCGAAATCGCCGCCCAAACCACCCAAGAGAGAGTACCTACTCTCGATCCTACCGTGAGGGGCAGGGAGTCGATCCAAGGCACCCCCCAGCTGCAGTTTCACAGGATCCCGGAGCGGGTCCGAAATGCTCCATCGGCTCCTCCGAACATCGGTTTCGCTACTCCTCCTCTGGGTAGAGGTCCAAGGATCCAACACCAACTCTCAACGCCACCGGTATCAACCAGGGGGTCCAACAGCACGCAAGCGGCAGACCTCATTGACAACTTCGTATCCAGTGTGCCGTCCGACTACATGATCGACCGTAAGGAGGCAACCCGTACAAGGCGCGACGTGCAGGGTCTCAAAATACCAGGTGGCCGTTTTGTTGGTATGAATGACTCTCGTCTCTTCAACGTCTGGCTCAAGAAGCTGACGGTACAGGCACGTGCTAACGCTCTATCGGGTGACGCAGTCGGTCTATACCACTTCTTAGTGCAATCCCTGGGGGAAGCAGTTATTGCTAAGCTGTCACCCACGGCTCCGGGTACACCTTCTTTGAGCGCTAAATGGGTAGCCGAAATCCGCAGGGTACTCGAGGCCCTGCAGGTCGAGTGTCGTGGTGTCAGTGCGGAGGTGGTGAAATGGCAGGCGGAGCAGCTCTTCGACGCTCTTCGTCAACGACAAGACGAGTCTGTTCAAGCATTCATCAAGAGGTATGACCTGTCCGCCTCTGAGCTCGAGGCCCAAATGGGTGAGGCTGTCCCCGACGCCAGAAAGCTCACGGGGTTAATCCGAGGGCTCTCTGGGGATGCCCGGAAGAGAGCGATGGATCACGTGTCCCAGGCGGGTGTGGCAGTTACCTATAGTCATCTGATACAGCACTTGAACCACAGAGAGCGTTTGGAGAACGCTATGCAACCGGGAAAAGTGAGACCCAGACCGTCTGGCTCTCCGGAAAACCCGAGTGCCCACACGGAGCCGGAATCACCTGCTCCGACATTCCCTCCAAGGAACAAGGACGGTAAAGCCAAGAAGGAGCTCTGCCGTTTCTTCTACAAGCATGGCAAGTGCAAGCATGGTACAGGGTGTCGGTATGAACATGTCCGCAGGGGCCAAGCACAGGCAACCGCAGCGGCAGCTGTCGCCGCACCCATCGAGACCCAAGAGGACTCGGCTAGTGAGGACGGAGACTCTTCTGATCAGGACGCTGACATTTGCGAGCAGCAGCTCTACCTGGTTCGCGACGATGTCCAGAAGCCCGGTCCTACAATATTCCTACGCCATGACACTTGCCCTTCACCTCTCCGGTGCCTTATCGACACTGGGGCGTTCTACAACTATATTCCATCTGCACTCGCCGAAAAATTTGGTCTTGAATTGCGCCCGCTCGACGAGGACATGGCTCCCTATGTAATCCTCGCGGATCAAGGCCGCGCTATGCTTTTGGGTAAAGTCAAGCTCGGTTCTACTATCTTCAGGGTTCTGCGGTCTGAGGCCTGTCATGCAATCTTGGGGGTCGTCTCTATGTGTGAGATGGGCATCACATTGTCTTTCAAGACCGACGGGGTACGGGGACGGCTCGTGAAAGTATCGATAAAAAAGCCTGACGGCCATCAGATCCAACTGACGGCGGCGAGCGCAGGTGATCCCGATCGTCTCCAATATGAGCTATCGGGAAAAGAGGACTGTGATAACTCGCACCTCGGCAACAACCACATTTTCCAGATATGGAGTCCTCCCACTGAACTTGAGCACATTGTTCACGCAACGGATCTCACCAAGCAATTACAGACGGATTGGGCGCCGGTGAAAGGAGCTTCAGCTGATTTCCAGTGGCGGTGCCGTCGCATCACCGGCTCGGAAGTCCGTGATCGTCCAGAACAAGAATTTGTCTACGAGATCAATTGGAGCAATCCCGCTCCGGGGGTTGACCGTGCCCGCTCCGCTGACTTCAGCCATGCCTTGTACAGCAAGCTGAGTGATTCTCAAAAACGCTATTTTGATGACGAGGTGAAATCTTACGTCGAGCGATCCTGGTGGCTACCCGAGAAGGACTGCCCAACATCTAACCCTATGGTGGTGTTTCCGGTATCGCAAATATCCAAAGATGGGTATGCGAAAACTACAAAATGCCGCCCTGTAGTGGACTGCAGAGGTGTCAATAAGCACTTGGGGGTGGCGGGCTATCCTGGTGCCACCGTTGCTGAGATCTTGAGAGATACCAGGCTCAGATGGGAGCCCTATAGCCGACTTATTACAAGAGACGCAAGTCGTGCGTTCTACTGTGTCCGGACAGTGCATAAGAGCTACCTCACGCTTAATGGAAGGGCATACTCAAGCTCTCGGCTGGTCTTCGGCCTGAAATGTGGGCCGTGCGCCTTGCTCTCTTGTCTGGACCATATGCTAGCGGTGTCCGCCAGTTTGCTGGACAAAGCCGATGCTGAGGCTCTCTCGAAGAGTGGTGTGTACCTTTACCTCGACGACCTCACCATACTAGTGTCATGTGGGACCAGTCCAGTTGCGGATCGATTCCTCACCGCACTAAATAAAGTGGCCAGTTTAACTGGTTTCTCCTTTCCGGACGAGAAGGGGAACGACAACCTCAAGGACCACCAGTTTCGTCATCTTGGTATCACCTGGTCGTTTGAGGGAGGTCTCCTCAGCTTCTCCTGCGTTAAGCACCCAGTCCCGCACCTGACTACCTCAGGAGATCTTTTTCCTTCCACTTGGACCTGTCGTAAACTCTTCGCAGTTGCTGGTCAGGCTGGTTGGGGCTCAGACCCGCTGGGAGTTCATCCTAGGGTGCGTCTCTGTGGAGATCTACTGCGCACAGTCGGTGGGCAGCAGCTCCGCCAACACGGTTGGGATGGACGGTTCACTTTGGAGAAGGGTACCTGGGATTATAACGTACTCCACCGTTGTATCCAGGAGATTGTTGAGCACATATCGCACCGTTGCTGTCATACAACAGGGTCCTCTCCATGCAGGGAATTACTCGTATGGTCCGATGCTAGTCCTTCTGGAGCCGGTTACTGCTGCTATGCCGGACCAGGGGGTGGAGTGAAGGAATGGTATTTGGGAGGTAACGCCTTTATATGGTCTGGTCCCTCTCGCTCGTACCACATAAATCGCAAGGAGCTCATAGCTCTAGGCAAAGCGGTGACCTACGTGCACTCTCTGGTGGTGGAGTGTCCTTCGCTTATCCTGTCGCGGGATACTGGTGGTTCTACCCTGCCTCTAAAGAGGGTAGTTTTTCATAGCGACTCTCAAACTGCTCTTTCGTGGGCGGAGTTGGGCCATGCGGGGTGCTCAAGCACTGAGAAGGTGATGGTTAAGAGACTGGCCAACAATCTCAGAGAGTTGATCGACGAGATCCGCGCCTACGGTGTTGAGGTCGCCATGAAGAAGGTCACCGGCGAAGCTAACGCAGAGGCCGACAAGCTGAGTAGGCTATTGGAGGATATGGGGCTTCATACCCAGACTGGAGACGTGGAAGTTGAGGATCCTTCTAGCCAACGGCTCTCCGTAGTCGTGAGTCCCAACGATGGAGGCTTGGGCTCACCGGGGGATGAGGCTCGTCGGCGTTTTGCAAGCATTCAGCAATCTTCTGAGAAGATGAAGGACATCATCCACAAGCTCTCCGAGGCCGATTACCCGGATGGTATACTGGTGGATGGTAAAACGGAGTATCTAAAAGTGGACAATGGCCTCCTCGTCGCCTTGAAGTTTCCTCATGGTGATACTGCTGAGCCTGCTCGCCAAGTTATCGTTATTCCTACCGATTCCGAACTCGGTTTCTCGGAGGCCAAGCGGATCATAACCAGCTATCACGTGTCTGGTATCCACGATCATTGCCGGCGGACAAGATGGCGAGTTGGTAGGGACTTCTGGATTCCAGGGATCACCGCCATTGCTGCTAAGATTGTTCGGGAGTGTCCCGACTGCCAGGCTGCTGCGACATCGAGGTTCTTTGGACTGTCCGGCGGGGGCTATAACCACTTGGATGCTGGTGTTCGCAACATCTGGAGCGTCGTGAGCTGTGACCTGGCTGGCCCGTTTGTTAAGTCGAAGCAGAACCATACTTATGCTCTGGTGTTCGTATGTGAGTTCTCGAAGTTTACGTACATGCTCGGAATCCCAGACTCCTCAGGGAGATCGGTCTCTCATGGCATGGAGACAGTGTTCGACATTCTCGGTACTCCTGAGAGGCTACGCAGTGATGGCGGACCATGCTTCAGGAGTCGGTTCCTAGGCAACTTTCTTTCTCGTCGAGGGGTGAAGCACCAGGTCTGTCTGCCATATGCTCCTTGGCAGAATGGTAGTGCCGAAGCTGCGGTCGGTTCTCTAAAGCGCACTCTTCGCCGTTACCGCGATGTCTATAATGCTAATGGCAGATGAGAGGAGCTCTTGGCTAAGGCTATGCGTCGTGCCAATGCCAAGCCGGGTCTGACTGGGAAGAGTAGCTTTCAGATCTTCTTCGGCAGGGCTCGCCGTGAGGAGGAGGAATTAAGACTCGCTCCTGGAGGCCCGACTCAGCCAGCCTGCTTGCCTACCCCGGCTGATTCTCCAGAGGTTGTCGACGGCATCAACAAGGAGAGAGAGGAACTGAAAGAAGATGTCATCCAGGCGAAGGAGGATCGGTCCCCGGTGACGACATTGAGACCGAGGCGGAAAGCTCAGATGCCTAAGATCGGTGACCGTGTGCTGGTGTTCCGTCCGGACCTACTCTCAGGTGCTGGACATGGGAAGGGGAGATATAGCACTGATTGGTATAGAGTCGTTGAGGTTGATCATCGTTCCCTGAAAGTTAAGGTGCGCAAGAAGGATACTGCTGATAGCACCTCTTGGGAAAGCTTGCGCAATGTGCGTCCTTTTTATGGTTAATTTCGTGCTCAAGTTCATCTTGTAGTCCTTGAGCAGGGGGTGGAATGATTAGACAGAGCTCCATTGCTGCTGTAATGTTTCCCTATTTCATGTCATTCGTCCGATAACTCTATGTTGTGCGCCCATCGCACGCTGCTATGTGTATGCGTGCACAGTTGCGCTGCGTACAAACCGTTCATTGAGTTGGTTAAATCGTCTTTTCCTACTTAATGTCTGCTCACGAGTCGAGTCATCAGTCACAGGAGGGAGACGGATCCCAATCAGTATGAGTACTTGAGACAGAGTCAGATTACGTAATCATGAGCAAGATCCTTGATCCTTGATTTTAATCAGCCGTTGAGTCCGAGTCCTGATCCTTAATCACGATTCAAGATTCAAATCTATACTCAATGGCTGATTCAGAGTTTTTGGCACTGAGACAAAGTACTTCATCAATTCGAGATAAAATACTCGGAGTTGGGATTTTTACTCATGATTCGAGATTAATTCTCAGGAGTCGAGATTCTTTTACTCAACCTGAAAGCTGCTCAGATTCAAGATCGCAATCTGACCTTGAGCATGAACCGGGATCATACTCATGATGCACAAGCTCACAGTTTAACACGGGGATTAATCTTGATTCTTTACCGGGGGTCCGGACCCCCGGTACCAAACCCTGATTCTGATTCTCGGCCTCGATTCACGACTTCAGCGCGCCTCGGTAGACTTTCTCGGCTCCCTGCGAGTAGGTTCTTAGAATGACCGCACCGGGGGATAGAACCTCGGCTTGGACCAAGTGGAAGCAAATCCTTAACCAGTCGAGCTGTGAGATTATACGATCCAAGGCGGTGCAAGGAGGTCTAGCGCACGTAGTACATACAGGGTATCAGTGTGACCCTGCCCGGGAATAGAATCCCGACTTCGAGCACATGAAAGTATCATCTTAAACAGTTCAGCTAGGTCATACGATCACGCTACCGGTTCTCGAAGGAAGCTCTAGAAGCTCGAGAACGAAGCTCTAGCGCTGAGCTTCCTCTTAGAACTTCTGAATTAGAAACCCAGAGTTAGTTGATTCCGAGTGAACATATTGAAAAGTTTGAAGTACGGATGTGTGCAAGTGCGACAAAAGATCTTCTTCCAAAATTTCATCATTGTTGTAGCGTAACGGGAAATGTGCATGCATTCGGGGCGAATCTACCAGATTCTCCCCTCGTAGAGTGACGTTTTCTGCCTTTCTTGAAAGTGTCACTTTCGGTTCTGGGGCGTGGCGACTACAATCTTCTTCTTGTCAAAAATGTCTGATTCAACCTCTGATTCCCCGATTCTCGAAAATACTCAGATTCAATGGAATCACCCGAAAAATCAGCCTCATAAGCAAGGCATATTGAGTAAGAGTATTATTCAGCCAAAAAATCAACTTTAGATCCTCGAATAATCTCAGAGATCCAGATATCCTCGCGATGATCCTGATTTCTCGCTCCAGAGTAAAAAATCAGTGAATCAGGGGTTATTACTCACCATCTGATTTTTTCATCTGAGTAAATACTCTGACTCACCTGTTGCATCAGGATCCGCATACGGCCCCAGATTCTGGGGCCCAGAATTCATTGATGCACAATGCATCGAGTTAAAGTGCATCATGCATTTCTGCTTAGAGCATTAAGTCCCGTCGCGGTAGTCACAAGTCTACATCAATGTTGATTGAGGTATATCATCGATCCTGGGATTACTCATGAGTATGGGACAAGACATCCCAGGCAACTGTTGGGCCCAGCGCCTATACAACTAACACGTTCATGTTTTGTAGCGCCAAGGAACATCAGTAACCAGATTGCTGATAATTTTCTCAAGCACTTGGAAGATAATGATGCTTCGAGCCTCGAAGTTCGAGGCACATGCTTGGTTGCCTGGAAAGACATCAACAGTGAGGCCACTCCAACTGGAATGGCCAACTTCTCGAGATTCATCGGCGGTTGTCGCCGTATGGGCAAGCAGTCCGAGAAGGATATAAATTCACTCTGTTGAGTGGAGCTCTCACTGTGAGAGCATCTTAGCCTATCACATATGATCAAAGGCAACCCTAGTGTGGGAAAATATGCACATGGTCAACGACATATGTTAGTGACAATACGTGAATTATGAGGTAAGTTCGGAAAATAGTCAGTGGTTTCTGCACATCTCTATCTTAATTCGTGTATACACTCCTATGATCACTGCGAGAACTCTCCAACTCAGCTTGAGAAAACGAACATATATTTCAACACTGGGCAACCCAGAGCCATGGAACCGCCTCTTCGTTCAAAAGATTGATATGGTAGCCAAGACTCCAGCTCAGTGGTACTTGCGCCCCTCAGACATCCACTGGCTCCGCATATCCGCTGTGTTGATTATTGACGCATGTCCTGTATACGCGTGCAACGTGCGCCATAACTTGGGTTCTCAGGCTTCCGAGTTCTTGGGTAAGGCTAGTAACCTCGGATGCCGAGTGGAGCAATTTGGCCATTACCGAGCTGTGGATCATGCGTTTACTCATAACTAACTTTCTCTGGGTCAATACTCATCAGCTGATGATTCCTCTGCTACACACGTCACCTCCCTTAACTCCGACAGTGGTAAATCGCTGAATACGATCTTACTAACACGCACTTTGTCTACTGGAGTGATAAGCCCGACATCCATCAGTCTAGAGATACCGAGT